AGCACTCATGCCAGGAATCATGACAAGAATAGAATTCAAAATCCTCCTTCTCACCTATAAAGCCCTAAACAGCCAAGCTCCATCTGATATTAGAGATCTGATTGTTTCTGGTGTCCCAAACACTCACTTCTCTCAATCTGCAGTGGTTCCTAGAATTTCTAAATGTAGAATGGGAGGCGGATCTTTTATTTATCAGGCTCCTCTCCTCTGGAACAAACTCGCAGTTTTAGTCTGAGAGACAGACATCCTGTCTACTTTTAAGACTAGGCTCAATACATTCCTTATTATAAAGCTAATAGAGTGGCTCAGGTTATCCTGATCTATCTCCATGGTTATTTTGCGATAGGCTTAGACTGCTGGAGGACATATGCTGTGTTCAAATTCAGTGGCTGTCCCCAGAATGACAGTTTCCTGAGACAGCAGCTCTAAATACACATGAAATACATAATCAAAAGTTATTTACACATACATATAGTAAAAAAAAAAACGACTACAATCCTTAGAGTAGACTTAAAATGTAACACAAGGACAAATATTCATGGATTATAGTATGTAGTATTTAAACAAAGTGCAGGTTTTGCTGAAATGGTCTAGAGTGTAGTGGATTTTTAGGAAGGATGTTTAGCTACTGCCAGCAGAGAGATGATCGGCTTTGCAGCTTTGGGAAGGAATCTTTTCTTAAGTCTATTTGTTTCTGATTAGAGGTGGGTAGAGTTGCACTTAAGTAAGAGTAGGACTACTTCAGCATATTTTTACTCAAGTAAAAGTAAAAAGTACTTTTTAAAGAAAATTCTTGCAAAAATCACAGGGACAGTAGAAAGCACAGCTTATCACTCTCCACGAAAAAAAGACGGAAAATAGATATAAAATAGCAATCCTTTTTGAGCCTCACAAAAAAAAAGAACGAGGGACTGTTTCACTCCCCTTTTTATGAAAAAAAAAAAAAAATGAACTAACTTCACAGATCTCTCTGTGAGAATCACCTCTCACTTCCTATTCCAGTACCTATAAAATGTCCCCCAGCCTTTATTGCTCTGTTGTTCTTCTCTTTAAACATAGTTCCCATTATATCTTTAATATAAGCCTATCAAAATCCTCTATCTGTTCAGGTGTAAGAGATGCTGTGCAGCATTCTGGTCATAGTGCAGCTATGTATATACATATATATTTTTTTTATAATCTTTCCCAGTCAAATGTGGGACAGTGTTCAAATTTGTGTGGCACAGAGAGAATAAAAAAAAAAACGACATAATTCGAGATCTGCTCACCCTGCATTAAGGGTGTGCAAAATAATCGTCATGACGATGCATCGTGATTCTAATTTTTGTGATCTACTGCATCGATTCTTGAAGGCAAGAATCGATTATAAAAAAAAAAAAAGGAACAAATAAAATACATTAATGGTTGGCGCACATCAGCCAAATCAATTGGAATACAACTTCCAGTCCAGCAGATGTCGCTGCGGATGTGTTGACGCCCTGTCACATGCATTTAGTCTACCTTCTGCTTTTGGAATACACTCTGGCATCAATGACTTATCTCCTAAGAGGCGGAATTGTGCAGACTCTGGTAAAGGTTGACCGAGCCAGTCCTAAAAATTTTTCAAAACTGCCTTCCAAAAGGGCATTATCAATCCCATAGTGCATGGAGAAGTGTACCCACCTCTTTTTTACATTTCCTTTTATTATTACCCTTTATTAGACTCATTTGGCATGACTTTCCTTTTTGTAAAATGCAGTTCTGTCTGTAAAATTGACAGACTGTAGTAACAATGTTTGCTCAGCCACGTCTTTTTTCCAAATACGTCGTCGCCTTTTACTTTTTACTTTTTAAGACTTTCAGCACAAAATTGCACAAATTGCCAAGGCAGCGTGTTTCATTATAGTGAGCTTAATTTCTCCCTTCTATTTGTTTTGCTTAGGGATAGAGAGCTACAGAGCAGCTCCATCTCACTGTGGCGCTGAGTCCGACGTGGTTTTTAGTCGTGCAGCGTGAGCAGGTAGATTGCATCAGAGCATCGGGCCGAACATAAATCGGGAGCTGTGAGCTCACACTGGACGACTACACTGCGATTAGTCGTCCAGTGTGAGCAGTAGCTGCGTGCAACGATTGAAAAAATGGCACAGTGTAAGCTCCGGCCTAAAATACAATAATATTGCTATTCACGCTGGTGGTAATGACACCCAGTTACACCGATCACTAAAATTAGCCTTGCTTCTGTGTAAGTTGGCCTAAACAATGTTGGACTCCGTAATTTTCTCTGATCCCTTCCCTAATCTGACCAATGATGACCTGTTTAGCAGCATGTCTACATTCAACCTCTGGTTCTCTAGGTGGTATCGTTTGTCATGATTTTATCAAGAGCTCGGACCCACATGCAGATAAACCAGTCCAGAGAGACAAGGGAAAAAGTTAAACAGGTTTATTGAGAAGTTTGGTGGAGATTCCAGTGTTGCTCTGAACACTGCTCAACCGGAACTGAAAGGTGA